AACAATAAAAAAAATATGAAAAACATATATATCAAAATGCCCCTTTTGGTCTACCATTTTTTAAAAATACCCCTCTATACTATCCATTTTCAAAAATACCCGAATTTTTCTCAGTTTTTTTTCATATTTTTCTTAGTTTTTGTTTTTCATATTTTCTCAGTTTTCTCAGTTTTTTTCATATTTAAAATATTTTTTCATATATAAAATTGGATTAAGGGATTCGATTTTGATATATATGTTTTTCATATTTTCTTTATTGTTGCAGAGATGCAAACAAAGAAAATAAACAATTTTGTAAAAACTTTTTATTAAAAAAATCAATGTGTTGTCATTTTTTTGTTTTCAAAACAGCAAGGTATTTAAACTGCCACGTCATCAATATAGAAAAGGGTTATATTATCTATCTATTTGTGGGTTTTTAACATACACTATTACATTATTAATACACTAAGATACATCTTAAGGCTTATGCCATTAAAGATGCTCTAATGATGCTCTAAGCACATACTTGAAAACATGAATTATTTTCACCCGCGTTTTTACTCATGCCTTTATCTAGTTCGTATATCTATATAATCTGACCGTGGTGTGATAAAATATAAACTTTCCTTTTATTTTGAACTTCTTAATTAATTAGTTATACCAATTGTATGTGTGACTAGTTACATTAGCCGTTGTAAACAGTAATATTTGTTACCGTTGCGACTACTAAGAAAAGTAAATAATCAGAAACGAAATTTATTGATCTGACCGTTGTGAGATTAATACTAATTTCCCTTTTTCTTTAAACTTCTTAATTAGTTTATTTATCTCTCTCTCTCTCTTAACTTCAACGCTTCTTCTTCTTCATTCTTTTCTTCGTTATACATACATAGTCTCTGTGAATTCTGATGATGTTGATGATCCATCAAAGTAGAGAGACATATCAAAATCAAAGCAACCGAAGACGTTCTTTATATCATCGTTTCCTCTGTTCCTTTGTTCTTCTTCTTCGTCAGTCTAAATCAATATGGTTATTGAATCTTATCTACCCATGAAGACACTTTCACCAGAGACTTACGACGAAATTCAAAAGTGAAGAGAGGTATTCGTAATAGTCCTCTGTTTTCTTGATTTTGAATCTAATATTCTCGACTTTATTATTTAGGAATTTATTTAATTAGAGATCATGATGATGATTAGTGTTTAGAGAATGATTACCTAACTGTAAATTTTGGTTATTAGTACAAATCCCACAGTTTGTTGTAGACTTGCTGAAACTTTGTATAAGCGTCGGAAGTGGTTTGGTTGGATGCACACAGGACAGCCTCGTAGAATCTGTTTCTGTGTCTGAACAACTAATGAACACAACCTACAGATGTGTTCTGAAACAAGTGTTTGATATATAGACATGATCTTAAGTTAGTAGTGATGAGTGCTACTCCTTGAACCTGAAAAGTTTCAAGAGTGTATTTTAGCGGTGCTCCTCTGTTGAAAGTTTCGAGTAGGCTTCATCTAATTGAGATCTTTTTATACTCAGGAGCTTGAAGATGAACTATCTTGAGGCTGCTATAAGGACTGTTGTCCAGATCATCCACATGTGTGAGCCACCCTGGTGAAGATGCCTGCCGCAAAATCAAACACATGGTACTCCTGAAACACTGATGGGAGCCTTAGCAGTTTTGGATTACTTGATGATGAAGGTAACTTGACAAAGATAGGTGAGATAGTCCATGAGTGAGTTCCCCTTGGATCCATAGATGGCGAATATGCTCATAGTTAGTCCTGAATTCAACTGCTCAAACAAGATTCTCTCGGTTTCAGCCATATTCTCAGGTACGCCTTTACTTGCTACCAATTTCCATTCTGCAACTAGTCTAATGTGCATTAGAACTTATATATGTATGAATGATTATCATTTAGAAGTAAGTATTAGAGTTTTGTTATCATCAGCAGTCTCTAGTCTAGGTTCTGCATACCCATGGTCCTAAGTAAGTGCTGATGGATAATGTCAATATAGAACAACATAAAGAAGGCCATGATTGCCGGGTTATTTCATGCAAGTGGCTCACTTAGAACGCACTGGCCATTACTTGACAGTCAAAGACAACCAAGTATGTCAAGACAAATTCAGTTTCCATTTAAACATTTTGCTCTTGTGTTAATCTCATGTTAAACTCTTGGTTTTGGCAGGTGGTTCATTTGCGTTCATCAAGTTGCTTGGATCACAAACCTGAGTGAGTAATCAACAGCGAATATGTTTTTGACTAGCGAGAATTTCATCTGAACTGTGACAAATATTCGCGGTAAATGGTAAAGTTCTTACATTTCCTCTTCTTGTTTTCTTTGGTTAATATCTCGTGAAACATGTGGCTAAGTGCTAATTGTTGCCCAACATATTCTTCAGTTTAGTCTGAATGGGTCAGGTCAGCTCAACGGAAATCCGAACTTACGAGCTAAGCTTGAAGCTTGCACTGAACAACTCGAAGCGAAAGATCTTCTGTTACAAAAGGTTGAGGGAAGAATTGCAGAAGATCGTGAGATAGTTTCAGAAGTGCTCACTTTGAGAGAACATGTGAAGTCAGCTGAACAAAAGCTGATTAAAACCGAGCTTGAGCTGAAAATGTGCCAATGCTTCTAAAGTATATCATCGGAAGCAAATCAAGAACAGCAGAACATGTTGTGTTCATCAATATGGGACATGGAAACCGTAATAGAAGATCTCAAGTCTAAAGCCTCAAAAGCCGAGAGTAGAAGCAATGTTGCTAACGATGAATAAGAGAGATATGCATAAGAAACAACTACAAGGAACAAAGTTTTGTTCAGGGACTCAAAAGCAAAGCAATGTTGAAGTGTCTTCAGCAATATGGATTCATTCACAGGCTAATTCACAGCAATGTTAAAGTTCAGTTCTCCAAATCTAAGCAGGTACGTACTAATACTATACTTTCTTACCTTTTTTTTTTTAATTAAGAATAATGATTTTGTTTTGTTTCTACCGTTTTTTTTTTATTTTTAAAAGTTTTTTCGCTTCTGATTTTTATGATTTAAAATTAAATATCAAGGTTTTTATCAAATAAATTTTCAAGTAAATAGTTTTAATTCTTAATTTATCAAAATGTTTTTTTCTTTAGTTTAAACTTTAAAACTAAGTGTTAAATTAAAATACGTTGAAAACAAATCGGACCTAGCATCCAGTCCTTTTGTGGTCCGTAAGTTTGGTGTAAAAGTTCAACATGTATTTCACGTATTATAAATTTAACACTTAGAATCTTTAAGGCTTTTTATAAATATTATTTTTTTAAGTAAATTATTTTGATTTTTTAACTAAAAATGATCATTATATAAAATGCTTTAAAATATTTAAGTGTTAAATTAAAAATACTTTGAAAAAAAATTAGACCTAGCTCCAATCCCTTTGTGCTCGAGGTGTAAAACTTCAACATGTTTTCACGTATTGTAATGTTGAGTTCATTTGCATCCATCAGTTTGTTTGGATCAAAAACATGACTAACCTAAACGAATATGTTTTGTCTAGCCGGAATTTCATCAGAATTATGATATTCGCGGTGAATGGTATGGTAAGTTAACATTTCAAATAAAGTTTCAATTGGATCAAAAACATGACTAACCTAAACGAATATGTTTCGACTAGCCAGAATTATTACTGATATTCGCGGTGAATGGTATGGTAAGTTAACATTTCATGTTCTTGTTTTCTTTTAAGGACAAAAGAAGCAATCCATAAAAGGATTATATAGTGAATCAATCCAAAAAAAATTGTGTCCGTATTATGAAATAAAGATGTTGTGTAACAAACAGGTTGTTCAAGACATCACAGCCTTGTCATATACTTTCTTACCCTTCTTTTTTTAAAATTAAGAGCAATGATTTTATTTTTTTTACCGTAATGATTTTGATTTTTAAAAGTTTTTTCAATTTTGATTTTTATTATTTAAAATTTTTTCACTTTTGATTTTTAATATTTAAAGTTAAACATCAAGGTTTTTACCATATAAATTTCAAATAAATAGTTTTTAACTTTTAATTTAATAAAAATGATTTTTTCTGTTTTAACTAAGTGTTAAATTAAAATACGTTGAAAATAAATTGGACCTAGCATCCAGTCCTTTTGCGGTCCGTAAATTCGGTGTAAAAGTTCAACATATTTCCACGTATTTCATATTTAACAGTTATAAGCTTTAAAACTTTTAAAAAATATTATATTAAGTAAATTGTTTTGATTTTTAACTAAAAATATCATTATATAAAATAATTTAAAATATCTAAATGTTAAATTAAAATATGTTTTAGAAAAATTGGACCTAGCATCCAATCCTTCTATGCTCCAAGTCTAAAACTTAAACCTGTTTTCACGTGAACAAGTATAATACATATTTCTAGTAATATTCGTTCATTAATGGGTCCTTAGCGGGGACGCTCCAGGCCCAGCAGCAGGCCCTCGGCTAAAAAGCGTCTCTGTCAAAGATCTTTCAATCCTTTCATCGGCGATCTTAAATCCATCTTTGCCGTGCAGGTAAGTTTCAGATCTCCGTTATGGGAGTTTGTGTTGGTAGAGACGGGCTCTATATCTTGTTCATGTTCGTTCTAGTCATTGTTACGGATCTCGTGCTCTGCCGCACGCTCCCAGGTGATCCAGATCCATGCGACTCGACGACGAGCCAGAGAGAATTCGAGAAACTCAGATCGGATCAGCTAACCGTTCTAATCAACGGTTACTCTGAATCTCGGATTCCTCTCTTGCAGACCATCGTGGCTTCATACTCTGCAGCCTCAATCGTATCTTCAATCTTAGTCCTATGGGGTAACCCTAACACAGCTGATCATGTACTTGACCAGTTATACCAAAATCTAACTCAGTATTCGCCTGGAACCGCTTCAATCTCTCTCATTCAGCAATCTTCGAGCAGCCTCAACGCTAGATTCCTCCCTCGCTCCTCCGTGGACACTCGTGCTGTTTTGATATGTGACGATGATGTCGAGATTGACCGGAGATCTCTGGAGTTGGCGTTTTCCGTGTGGAAGTCAAATCCTGATCGCTTAGTTGGACCGTTTGTGAGATCACATGGTTTCGACTTGCAGGGAAAAGAGTGGATTTATACTGTTCATCCAGATAAATACTCGATTGTGCTGACTAAGTTTATGGTTATGAAACAAGATTATCTCTTTGATTATAGCTGCAAAGGAGGTCTGGAGATGAAGGAGATGAGGATGGTTGTGGAACGAATGCGTAACTGTGAGGATATTCTCATGAATTTTGTAGTTGCTGACAAGTTAAGAGCAGGGCCGATCATGGTTGGAGCTGAGAGGCTTAGGGATTGGGGAGATGCCCGAAACGAAGAAGAAGTTGGTGAGGGAGTAAGAGATGTGGGATTGAGTAGTAGGAGAGTGGAACATAGGAAGAGGAGAGGGAAGTGTATTAGGGAGTTTCATAGAATCATGGGGAAGATGCCACTGTTGTATAGTTATGGTAAGGTTGTGAACTCTGTTGGGGAACAAGGGCTGTGTCGTAAAGCCGGGAAGCTTGTCTTTTGTGACCGAGATTGAACGCTTTTTTTCTCGAAACAGTTTTTCTAATTATGCGTCAGAATCTCGACCTAAAAGGATGTGGATGTGCAAGTTCATCATGGAAGCAGAACATCATCTCATCATGGAAGAGTGTTGTGTCGAAAGCTATGATTGAGACCCATGAATGGATTGAGGCAAGGCTGGAGAAAGAAACAGTTTCATCTGGAAGGAGTTTACACATTTCCGCATGGTCTCAATTATGACTGTTCGTACAGACAGCAGGGAAGATTGACAAGTTCAGCCTGGATAACAAGAGACTCTAATGGTTTTTTCAAAAATGCAGGTCGTAGTAAAGGAAATAATTGTTCTTCAGTCTTGGAAGCAGAACTTCAAAGTGTGGGTGCGAGGGTACAAAAAAAAGTAATTTTTGGAGGAGATACTCGTTTGATACAAAGTTTGGTTGAAGGAAAGACTCTGCATTTTGTAGTTCGCAATTGGATTCGGGAAATCAAGTATTGGAAGAGGAGGTTCGAAGAAGTGGAGATCATTTGGACAAAGAGACAAAACAACAAAGCAGCTGATCGTTCAGTTAAAGAACCTTTAATAGATGATGTTCCTTTTGTTTCCTATTTCTTTGTTCCTTCATATCTTGTAAACCTCCTCCATGAGGATCACCTTTCAAGTTGCTAATACTATTAAGCTATTAAAAAAATTAAAAAATATTAAGAATAAATACAATAAAATTAGAAGAATTCTTATATTTCTATCCATACTGATGTATAATGATACCATATTTTCCTCATGATATGTGTGTGATGGTGGAATTAACGATCAAGAAATGTTTTTGGGAAAAAGATTTATGCCCAAAGCTGAAAATAAAAGTGAAGCAAAATAATTTGATTATATATATCTACATTACATTTTGCTCTCATCATTATGCAAATACTTAGCAAGTGTTATATGATGAACGATCAGATAACTATGTAGTATGATGAGATATTAAATTGTACCACAAGTTTTAAGTGCGTACATAATTTTGCAAAGGAAAAATCTTATATCTTAAGATACCCCTATAATGTTGGTATTAGTAACTTTTATTTTTCTTTGTGAATTGTGATACTTTATTCTGAGCTCTATATATTTACAGACTAAAATTATTAACCACAACCCTATATGTATTTTAATAACCTTCTTCTCTTTCTCAGGAGCTAGTAATGTGTTTTGAGTCAATGAGAGTGGATAGTGTGATGTTTTTTTCTTATTAATTGATTTTTGTGTTAGTTAGAATTGAGTTTGTAAAATGGGTTCCATAATTATTCAAGACTTAACCGGAAAAAAATATCAACGTCCTAGACCAATGAATATTTATAACATTGTTGAATATATGTACCAATATGTATTACACGAATAGTAAAAAATCAATGGAGTATGTAATAATAATAATAATTTGTGATATATAACATTTTGCGTTTGCTCTCAACATTTTGCGTTCTCTCTTCTTTTCTTGTCAAAGGTTTAGAAATAAGTGGCTTCTGGTAGAAAATTAAAGATGTGCTACTGTAAATAGAAAGAGAAGATGCAGAGTCATATATGTGTGCATGTGATGGTGGAACTAAAGATCAAGAAATATTAGTTTTTTTTTGTATTTTGTTTTTTTTACCATACTAAGAAAATACAACAAGTGGGTAGCACACAAGTTTTAAGAAGTCAAATTATATAATTTGGTCTTAAGCTTAGCTTTTGCTTTTGCTAGTGGTGGCTAGCTTGTGTAAGGAGATGAGTCATATGTAGTGTGAATGTGCAAACAATTTAGAAAATACTTTTTCTTCTTTTCTTCATTTCATTAATTACTGTATATAAATATATCTAGTTTTTACTAAACTACAAAAATAACCACGTACCATCTTCTTTGAAAACTTGGTTCAATGGTTTAGATTGATTGATTAGTCGTGGTAACATTTAGGCAAGTTGATAAACGTATGAGATATATGTAAGAGATAAAGTTGGTAAACTCAATTAATTACGTGTGTGTATATATATAAGTGTTTACATGTCCTAATGTTAATATCTCTTATACCAATCAAACTACAAAATAAAACTCTCTCTTAATTATATTTAATTGTCTCGTGTTTAGTTTTGTTTTCTCATCGTCTACTTCGAAACCGCAAGATGGATGCTCTGCTGAATGCTGCACTATCAAACGCCGCAGCTGCAAAACACAACCTTAGAACATTGGAGCAGATGTACGAGGACGCAATCAACGTTGGTTTAGGAGACCGAACATTTATAGCGGCGGCTAATTTGGTTAAATATAAATTGGAAGATGCGATAATGGAAGCTATGCACGTCGAATACCAAGCAAGAGAGCTTCATAAGCTCACAAACCCACTTTTTAATGAACAAGTTATGGAGCTGATCAAGATAAGAGATCTGAAAAGAAGAAAGCTAAGGAGGAAGAAGCAGCAAAGAAGAACGCTAAGGAGGAGGAGGAAGCAGCGAAGAAGAAAGCTAAGGAGGAGGAAGATGCAGCAAAGAAGAACGCTAAGGACGAAGAAGCAGCAAAGAAGAAAGCTAAGGAGGAGGAAGCAGCGAAGAAGAAAGCTGAGGAGGAGGAGGAAGCAGCGAAGAAGAAAGCTAAGGAGGAGGAAGCAGAAGCAAAGAAGAAAGCTAAGATGGGAGACGAACCAGGAGGGAGCAATGCCTTATGAAGTAATGATGAAGACGAGTCTACGTACGTACGTACGGTTCATCCTATATCTATCGATCGTTATTAAAATTTTAAAGCGAAGGTGACATAATTATTTTAAAAACAAAAAATTCATGTTCTAGTTAATTAATCTGTGTCGCTCTTTAAAAAAATAAAAAAATAAATTGTTATCAGTTTGGTTTGGTTGTGTAATAAATTTAAGGATTAATTGGGTTTTTAGTACATTTTTGAAACATAATTGTAGAAGTAGTACATTTACTATTCATTATTAGCAAACTAATACATTTTTACTATTTGGACATTATTTAGACACTATTAAAAACCCCCTTATATCTAATAACTAAAAATATTCATCAAAATATATTTGTTTTCTATAAAATTTCAATTACATATAAATCTATATTTTTTTCTCTATAATTTGATATGCATTTTTTAAAATATAATTTAAAATATGATAATCCGTTCCATCACATGACCCGTGCTACACAATTATCAATAATTCTTTTGTACATACATTTTTGTATCGTTTGAGTAATATACGTCCGCTTTCAAAAATTTAAATTGCAACATATGCAAAAAAAAAAAACATTTACCATCCATAATTTTATGTAATAATATAAATTTAAAAACAAATAAGATGATATAAAGATATTGGAGAAATATTTGATTTATTAGGGAGATATTTTAGAAAATTTTGTTAAATGTAAAAGATATTAATTTCTAGTTTTGTAATTTAATGATGATTTAATTATATAATTTAGCTTAAAATTGTGTTCTTTATTCAAATAGCAAAGGTTTAATTATGCAAATATAACAAAATAAAAGGGTAGAACACAAAAGGTACTTCAAAAATGTTAATATAAATATGCTAATAAGCCGTAGGGATTTATTGATGATAAAGTAAAACGTGCAAGATTAGTTACTTTGCAATCCACTGCATCGCTTGAAGAGTTTTTCGTGATAATTTCAGAAGACTATGAAATAGAACGAAATATGTTGGATGTGGAATAGAAAATCAGTTATATCTGAAGGGGTATTATTTTCTTAATACCTTTTAAAATATCTCCAATAAAGTTGTTCTTAGCGTCACCAAATGGTATTCCAATGTAGTTATATAAATTAGAGATACACTAATGATCAAAGATCATCCCAAAATCACATTGTTGGTCCTAGTTTACGCAAGTTGTACCAATTTATATTTCATTTTTCTAGTAAAACTAAGATAAAACATATGAACTCAATTTTGAAAGAGTTGAAACAAAGTACTTAAACACATAAAATTTATAACTTGACTTAATTTCAGTATAATTTTTTTGCCAATAGATTTATCAATTCTACCTTTTTCCCATAAATAAACAATATAAAAGAATAGAATCATAAATGTTGATAAATAAGTTGACAAAATAAACTTTTTGATTAAAGTTCCAAATAAAAGTCAAGTCAAACTAACCTTATGATTTATAGAAGCATTTAACAAATAACCAAAAATAAAAGATATTAGACAAGAATCGAACTCTGCTCTGGACCGTTCTTTATATAAAGGCATTTTAGCCAACTGATCTACATAGAACCATTGTGTTAAGGAGAGTGTTTATATTATTTATATATATCTTGTGAAGTAGCTGCACCTGAGATTGTTCTTGTCCTCTCCTACCTCTTTCAGTCTTTTGTTAAAAAAAAAAAAAAAACAGTTTTGATCCATTAGGCAAAATTTATCACCGAAAACAAAATCATCTTCAAAACCCTAAGCTCAAAGGCTTCTCAGATCTCTAGGGTTTTCTCGTTTTTTTTTGTTTATCAATTTGTGAATTTTTGTTTTTATGGACGAGTGTTGTACCCAGCGAAGAAGACGAAGAAGCTGATCCCTTTTTCTCGCTCATGGATTCTGACTCGGCGAGAGTTTCTGTGGAGTCGGTAAAGGATGATTCTGAATGTGTTAATGTTTCGAACGAGCCTAATCTCACGGAAACGTGTGGTGATGAAGGAGGAGGAGGCGACGGAGTTAGGGATGTGAATTCGTCCGCCGCTGCGTCGGAGCTCGTACCTCTTGAGTCGGTCTCGGTGGATGGAAATGGAGAAGGTGTGATTTTGAATTCCGTCGCTGATGATGTGGTTGAAGGGGGGACTCCTGTTGATGTCGTCGTTTCGTCGGAGCTGTCTCCGGTGGTTACCGAGGTAGGTGGAGGCGGAGAAAAAAATGCAGCTTTTAATGTTCAGGAGATGGATTCGGTTGGTGGTGAAGCTTCGGCTGTGGAGGCGGTTCCTCTGAAACCTTCTTTGGTGGTTGGGGGAGGAGGAGAGGACGAAGGTGCGGCTTCAATGGTCAAAGAAGAGAATTTTTCAGCTCAAGGCAGTGATTCACAAGCTAATTTGTCAGGAGATAGGCTTGAGGAAAACAAAGAAGTTGCCATGGAAGAAGAACCTCCATCACATGAGGTAAACGTAGTTGATTCTCAGAATGCTGAGG